ATTTATCTTGAATAAACTAATAAGGGGTGGGGGATAAGAAATGGAATCCAAGATATATCTTATTTCCGGAAAAAAGGGACATATGGGAAAATAGATCTATTCACTTCTAGTGGTGGCATATTTATATAAACTATTTAAGTGTGTTCATTCATAAATGAACTCTGATGCTAATATATATATGTATATATATCTAGGAAGTGCAAGAAAACTAGGATGTATATATATATATATAAGTAAAAAGGGTTGAAAAATTTTCAAAGGAATGTGCTGGATGTTGTTGTTAATTGGTTGGTTGTGTAAAATCTAGACCCGGAGTTTGGGCGGGTCTGGCCTCCGGCTGCTCAGAGCAGGCCTGAGCACAAAATTGGGTAGTAAATTTTACGACCAAGCAAATTAACGACACTAGTATTGGAATATAAACACATACAAACCCTTTAAAAATTTCAGTTATATATAAATACTAATAAATACCTGAAAATGGGGTTGCGAAAAAGAAGTACAGAATAATTTTTAGCAATTTACTTTTATCGTGCCAATAGATATGTATAAGTTAAACATTTGTTAAGTGAGATTATATCTTACGTATAAGATACTTTTTTTTAAATTTATTGTTATCCCTTAAATTGTAATAGTTAAGTTAAAAATTGTATGTTACCATTTCGTTATAACATAATATTTGTTTTAGTGTATAATTAGGGATAAAAAAATTATAAATTTGTTTGAAATTTTTGTATATAAAATATTTTATGAAGTTAAATATAACTCTTTTACTAATAATATTATGCCAAAAAAAATGCAAGTTCCATTTCAATTTTATTATAATATAATACAAAATAAGATAATATTTTAACTATGATTTTTACACGTGTATATAAAAATCATATAGCATATAATAAACTGATAATATAAATTTGCATAGTTTGATATAATAATAGGAAAAATATCAATTAAATATATTTCTAATAAACCCGAATTTTAATATACTTTTGGAAACCTTTTATTCAACAACTTTTCCTTAATTTGTTCCCCTTACAGGCTTTGACACTTAGGGAGAAAACAAGGTATCTTTCATATATATCCCACATTATAGTTGTAACATAATGACCATAGGAATTTTCGGATTTTCACTTATTGGGTAAAATTTACTAGGACGGCTTCTGCTTGTACTCATCTTTTTTTTACCATGGGAGTTTTTCAAAAGTGTACAAGTTATTTCCGCCGAAATGTTAGTTATTGATTTTTTTATTATCGGGATTCACAATTCCACAACTTTCATGAATTTACTACTGCTACATCAATATAATGAAGAGCACCACCATATTTTTTACCTCGTATTTCTATTCCTTGACATTAGGTTATCACAGATTAACGCTATAGTGAAATTATTTCAATTCACAAAATTTATATGTGAAAAATTAATAAATAACAACCGTTGCAGATATGGTACGTTAACCATTACTGCATTAAATCAACACATTTTCCATACAGGCTCTGACACTTAAGGGGAAAACACGATATCTTTCAGATATATCCTACATTTCCTCTTTGACCTGTTATTTTTAATTCCTCTCCTCTAATTATCCACGATATCTCTTTCTAAATTTGTTGGCCTTACATTTTTAAGTTGATCAACTCACTAAATAACTGGGCAGCTTTTAATCTAGTGCCTACTCCACACTATTTACGTTAACCCATTTCTAAAATATGAGGCCGTTTAGAAAAACATTGAATAAATATCTAAGTGGGATATATTTCTTCTCCAATATTTCAGGTTACCATTGCACCATTTCCCTAGGCGTTCCTACAATATCCCTTCATCTAAGAGTTTATAAAATAATCAAACTTTGTACAATTGGAATTGAGGGGAAATTCATTATAAAATAATCGGAGTTTATAATTAAAATTATATTCCGTGATTACGTGAAAGAGCTTTTTTAACTGTCAATTTGTAATAAACATTTATTGACGTTTTGCCTGTATATTTTCTAGAAGATTATTATTTACGAATTATTATTCGAAATCACATGATTATTTTTTTTTGCTTTGATTGTCTTTTGATAGTATGTATAAAATTAATAAAATATAAAGATTTGGATTGACATCGATATGGGTTTATGAATAACTAAATATGATTTCAATAGGGTTATTGGGAATATTGAGATTAAATATGATTATATTGTATGTGATTAGTATCTTATTATCACCGTATAATCCTTATAATGAATAATTCCTCTATCCATAAAAGAAGCCATCTTAACGATGCGTATAAATATAGGATTGAATAGATTTCACAATATTCGCCTCAGAAAAATCCATCGGAATTTTGTTTGTAACTGCGAAAATCAGGGACCCGAACCATTATTTAAAGTTCAATTTGTTTACGGTTAAGTAATGTAAAAAATAATGGTTACATATTGATTACGGTTCATAGGAAAAAATTTATAAAAGTTCTGTTCAGCTAATTGTAGCCGTTTATAATGGTTAATTACGGTTATGGCTTTTTTTTTATTGAAACAACACCATATATAATGATTTTAATTGTGAATATGATTTTTTCAAACACTAATTTATTTTTATTATATGCATCTATGAATTATATATATAAAAAAAATATATAAAATTCAAAATAATTATTTTTATTTAAACATATAAGTAATATATTTTCTAATATAAATGGATTCATATAATTGTGACTATAACACAAATATTAGCTCGAAAAAGCCATTTCTACAGAAACATGTTGCTGGAATCGGTAGTACTATAAGAGCAAGTTTTTATAATTCAGAAATATACAAATTTTTTTTAATTCCCGAAATAAAAAAACTGAAGATTTTTTTCAACACCTTCAAACGAATCAATAACATTTATAATATTGTGTTCTTTGTGTATATTTGAAGTAGCTTTTTTAAAAATTACGACTCACGGGCTAACAATAGCTTTTCTTATTCATTATCTGATTTATGATATTTGGAGGAGGTAGGTGTGGATTGAAATATCTCCATCACTAAGCTATCATCATTTTCCAATGCCTATATATATTTTAAATAAAAATAGCTATTAAAATAAATCGGGACTATATAAAAATGTGGCTAAATAAAATATGTAGATCTTAACTACTTACCAAGTTTATTTAAATGATCATTAGAAGTCAATTTATCATCTTCAGTCAATAATAACTGATAACGGGGTTCATATATAAATAAGCACAAAAGACATCTTTTTTAATATTCTTTTACTTTCCTTGATACATGTTAGAAGGTGCTGAAGATGTATGTACCTTGTGTAATTTTAGCCAAGCTGCATAAAATTTCCCAATGTTTTGAGTTTGGTATAATAAAAGATGGTTTCATTGCTTTCAAACTATAATAATATTCCATTCATCTTCACATAGATTAATGTTTTCATCCATTTCCTGTTCATCACAATACCTTTTAACTTCACCAATCTTTCTATCAATATAATTCGCCTTAGTAGAGTGATCAATCAGGGGTAATATTTGTGTTAAAATATTTATAAATTTTTTTGCATAATGATTATTAATTATCAATAGGTCATCTGGATTACTTTATCCTTTATTATTTGAGGAACGCTTATATCTATGTAATCAAATTTTATGGCTTGTGTGCCCGCCCTTGCGTCCCACCCACTCCTTCTGATTGCTGCCCATTATCCCTTCATTAGTCTGCTACCACATAGTTCCTTTTTGGTCAGCAAGTTTTCACAGCATGGTCTATATTACTAATGAATATAACCGCTTACTATCTCGGACTATACCTTTTATCCAGCTCTTCGTGATCTCCATACATGTTACCATATAAATAATTTAATTAAATTTTAGAATTATTGTGAGGTGCATTAACTATATATCAGCAAATGACCAAACCAGGAGAATCAGGTCAAGATCATATCTGCCCTATTATATTTTATAAGAAATCTAAACTTTTATTGGAAATGACCCAAAAAATTATGTTAATTGGAAAAAGATGGATTAAAATTGCGTGCACTGCAACAATACTGCAGTAAAATTGTTTTCTTATAACGCTAAATGTATTCATGAAAAAAAATAGTCATTATAGTAAAAATATTTATTTTATCTTGTAAAAATAATTGATGTTGATTTCTAGCTCTATTTAATATCTACTAAATATTTATTTTATTTAAGTTTTTTATAGATGAAAGAATGATTCCTATACCTTTTTTGTATTTAGATTAATTAGAATTATAATAACAAAATAAATGTTTATTCCATAGATTTACTGTTGTTATTTCATATAAATTTGATGTATAACTTACCTGACTAGAAATTATTAATAAAATGATTTGAATATTTATGAGTCACATCTATTTGATAAACAAACAATATTGTCCTGTATATTTGAAATACATTATTTTATTGCCAAAAATAAAATTATTTTTGCTTACTCATGTACAGCGTCTACATGAATCACTGAATCCAAACCCACATCAAAAAGATAAATCTACTCTTCTAAAAATTTTCACCGTCTCCTATGTTAATATTTTAACATGATTAATTAAATTTTTTAAGTTTAATGATAATCATTTATAAATTTTTTAACAAAAATTAAATCATGTGAAATAAAAGAGTTATTTTTTATAACATGAATTCAATTAAAAATCCCCACCAGCGTCTACGCGGAAGGTATAAAAAGGTGTAGAGCAAGGTGCCGAGTGATTTTCAAATTTTCACTGAAATTTGCTAACGTAAGTAAAAACCATCGTGAGGATCGCCCCAAGTTAAGCGCATTTTTTAAAATGCTGAGCTCAGGGTCCAGCATTGATTGTGTCAGAAACAATGGGGTTTAAAGTGATATTAGGGATGTGATAACTTTTCTAATTTATTCCTTTTCGAGTCTTTTAAAATTGCTGCACTGGTTGAATCGCACCCAGAAACCTCTATTATCTCTTTTAATAATTTAAAATTTAATGTGACGTGATTCTGGCGGCAAAAAAATATATCTGTCACTTAAATTCTAATAAGTAAAGATTTTAATATTATGGATACCCGCTCATGAATTCCCGAAAATATTAAACCATGGTATATTTTAAAAAATATTTTATCATAATTCTATACAATTGTTCTATAATTATATGAGAATCATTGTATCATAAGAAAAATTACCTTAATCAGATTAATCATAAAGATAATTTAAAATTAAACACTTTAAATGTATTTATATTTAAAGTTTTCACAGTTATAAATTTAAAAAATTTTTTTGATGGACTCCCTTATCAAAAAGTTTTTTTATCTGTCACAAGAAGTAGTATTTTTAAACATCAAACAATTTACTCTTATATTTACACAAAAAACTTAATTTTATATTTACTAAACTATGAAATTACCTGATTCAATATTATATAGATAAATAGTAATATAATATCTAAGAATGTCAGATAAATAGGAATGTTAAGAGCTCTATTAGGAAGACATACAATAAAATTAAGCACAAAGGATTAGCCATTATTATATATTGATAATTTTGCATTCATAATTAATTTGGCTTAAGCAACATTGTTTGAAAATCTCTTAAAAATTAGTAACTTAAATTATTTCTTAATATGTATCATTATATTTCATTTATTGAAAAGCTTGTCCTTTACTTTGCAACCTTAAAATTTTATTCAAATTTTACTAAAAATATAATGGATTATTCATATAAAAAATATAGTCAGAAAAGAGATATAAGATTGAAAATCATATCCTACCTATAATGGGTACAATTTTTGGATATGTAAACTTGAAATATTTTAAAAAAGGGTGGCTCGTTTAGGTATTTGATAAAAGTATTTAAAGACAGAACTATCGCTTGAACATGACAGTGAGATGAGCTATTGATTTAATTATTTTTTAAGATGATTAAATTTAAATATAATCTATAATATTTTATAACTTATAAAAGTTAACCATAAATTCAAGAAAAATTGGAAAGCATTAAATATAAGAATGTGAAGATCACAGTTAGATCTTGTTTGGTTTAAAACTACTCAACTAAACTGTAAATTACAAAAAATTGAATTGGATTTGTTTTTAATTTTGGTTTTGAATACCTATATAAAACAAATAATCATAAAATTTATACAAATATCAAATCAATAAAATATTAACTAAAACAACATTAATAATTATTGTCATCAAAAGATGGGTAAGGAGGTGCCTAAAATAAAAATTAGTAACCCCCTAGTGATTTATTTTTGTTCAATTATGTAATTAATTGAAGTATTATTTAATACATATTCAATATAAAAATTTTTATAATGGTAAAGAATCGACAATACATATTTGTGTATAATATTACAATTTTTTATCTCAAAAAGATCTGAAATTGGATGATTTGAAATAAATATTGTTGGGTAATATGGTATTATATAATTTACTAGTGTTGTTAAATAGCTCATTAATGATACATGTCTAGACCTCTGTTTCTTCTATGAGCAAAATCTTCAGTCTTGTGTAACATTTTTCTGGATGAAATATTGAGTTAGCCATTTTTAAAAATTGGTTCAAAACGAGCTGTTTAACCACACTATAATTTTACTTTTTAAATATTTTCTTACCAACAAAATAAAATATTGCATAAATCTGTTTTATAGATTTAAAAAAAAACCTTTTTAAATAATATTGGAACAAACAATTTCATACTATGCTTAAAAATAAATATTATTATATATTTTTTTGCTGTCTATTTTATTATTTTTTTATATGATAGTGAAAACTTGACATTCCATATTTTTTTTAAAAATCAAATATAGTTTGGTATTAGTAATATGATACTTTATCAAAATTTTATAAAAATTATTTTTGAAAAACTCATGTTTAATCGAGGATTATAATAAACTTTTAAAGGAGGTTAATGGACTCTCACAATAATAAAATTTAAGATTAAATATAGAATATACACTTGTATTGTTAAAAAGTTCAATTTGGGCTGATTAATTAAGACTTTAGCTAAAATAATATTGAATAGAAGCCTACCATCTATAAGCAAAATCAGCAGGCTTTTTAACAACACTAATACACACTTTATTTTGATATTTAGAATCATTAGTTATAATTAACTGTAGTTTTTTTATGATAAATCTTTAATTGAATGACAATCGATAAGCATGAGGAGGTCATTTTTGTTACACCATCATCCTTGATTGATATCTTCCAAACACCAAAAATTATAAGAGCTAGAATGCTAAAATTTGAACACTGCATTAATTACGTATACTTTTGTCTGCGCACAAAATTCACCTAAATCCCAGGGGGGCCCCACAAAAATCTTTTTTTTGATTGATTTGACATGGATTGACCCCACAAAACAATAAATATCTGCCCCAGGATCCGATCCTACATGGGTCATTTCACGTCGAATCGACCAAAAAAAACGAAATTTTCGGGCCACCATTTTTAAAATTAACGGTATTTGGCGGGATTGTTATCTACATTTTTTTAGATATTTTGGTAAATTCATAATTTTAGAGTGCTAGCTCATCCAGATCCAAAGATATTACGCCTTCAAAGTCGTAATTCGCGCGTCTTACTTCGCCAAATGCGTGATTTTATAAAAATACTTAAGATAGAGTTTCGAATTATATATCATATCATTTTGTAGTCCTTAAAATTTTACATTGGAAAATATCGAAAAAAAAATTTTAAAATTTTCCAAATGTTTTCTTATTTCCGGTAAAAATTTTTAACTTAACATTGTTAGGAAGGGATTTTTGGGTGGGTTTGATATTCTCTAAAAATGTTTTATTACCTTTATATTAAACTATTTAATAAAAAATCTCGACAGTTAAAATTTTTATTATTTAATAAAAAATGGTAATGTAGATGGCGTTATATTAAAAAATTATTATAAAATATAATATTTTTTAATAGAAATATATATTATATTGGTTATTAAATTTTTTTAAAAATCGATTGAGTATAACCAATGTGATAGATGTCCTGGACCAATAAGTAAAGAAGCAGCCCATACAGATATGCTTATTAGGACGCTATATTATAAAATTAACATATTTTAAAATTTTATATTCAAGCTTATTATGAAATATCTCTTATTTTTATCATATTCCGTTGTGCTCATTTATAGTAATTCCTCTGAGGCCATAATTTGTAGATATATTCTTTTCACTTCTTGTGGATCTACTATCGTTTATTTTTTTTGACTAATCAATTCAGAAAAAAAGTCAATACTGCTCTTACGGATCAGCTGAAATTTTATAAATCTGTGTTATCGTTAATCAGTTATACGGCAGATCTGAATGGCATTTTTCAGCTACATCTTATGGGAAAGGTCCACGTGACGGCCTTGGCGGAACATTAAAAAGATTAGCGGCACCATCAAGCCTTCAGCGCGCCAGTTCTGGGCACATTTTAATACCAGTTGATTTTTTTTTATCAGTTTGCAAAACAAAACATCAGTAAATTTTACATTATATAACCAACGAATAATACAATTTGGAAAGAGTTTAAACTACTTGAAAGATTCCATTTTGCTTGCTTGTCCCATTTCAGGATCTCGGAAAACATATGCTGTATTTCATTTGAGTTTAAGTAATAAACTAAAATCAAAAATATATTCATATGAATAGGACTTTTCAAATTAACGAATAGGACTTTTCAAATTAACAATATCTCACATGCCGATAATTTGTCTTTTTTGCCTATATTGAAGGATTCGTAACATGTGTTTATGACGATTTTCGGTGGTTAGCCATAGTACTAAAAAAGCTTTTTACATCCTCATGGACCCACTACCATCCTTCTTTTATCCCACAATTGAGGCAAAGATATGGTTACCCATTAAATCAAATAATATCGTTAGTAGATCGACGTACCTACAAATTTTCCTAATAACTGTATCCGTATGGACTGCTTTTTTAATTATTGCTCCATGGACATCCATTGGTTATAATTAATCGATTTTTTAAAATTTAAATAACCAATCGAATACTTATTTTTTTATAATTTTTGAATATAACGCCATCTATTTTACCTTTTTTTATTTGTATAAATAATAAAAAAATTCGAATAAAATTTAAAAAAAAATAACAAAAATGGCTACCGATAATATTTTTTTGTTAAATAGTTAATATAAAGAGCTAATAAACATTTTTGGGAAAATATCAACACCCCCCCCCCCCCATATATCTTCCTAACAAATATCAATTTTTTTTTATTTTTACCGGAAATACTAAAACACTTAGAATGATTTTTAAGAATTTTTTTTCGATATTTTCTAATGTAAAAAATTTTAAGGGGCTAAAAAAATGATACATTAAAGTATTTTTTTAAAAAAAAACAACAAGATTCAATGAATTACGGATTTTCGATTTTTGAAGGCGTATATTTTTATATCAGGTTGAGCTGGCCTAAAATTTACCATTTACAACATAAAATAACTAAAAATGGCAAGCTTCATTTTTGAGTTCGTCGGCTGAAATCACTGGTCGATATGCCATGGAATTACCTATTATTGTTAAAACGGCTAGCTTAACATTATATCCATGAAAATATTGTATAAGCGTCGAGATTTCGTCAATAGAAGTTCAATCCTATGTGCCTTCTAATGAGCAAAATCTCTAGGCTTGCATTATAGATTTCTGGATAACATATTGAGTAAGCCGCTTTTAAAAATCGACACTAGAATTACCCATATTCCATATTGGCAAAATAGCAAACAAACGATATTTAAAATTTCAAGATTATCTGCAAATTTAGCATAGCAAGCTTGTAATTTTTATATTAAGATTTGTTTGTAAGTTATCTTGTAGACATATTTGTTCAATATATATATATTTTGTATAATAATAGAAAAACAAAGTTATTGTTCACACTATCGATAAATTGTCCGATCTGCCAAAAAGTAAAAATAATATTAATAATTTTTTTAGACATATTTACCTGGGGGATAAAAAGGCCGTTTTTTTGGGGATGAAAAAAACAGTTTTTTTTCCTGTTTTTTTAAATATAACTATCAATTCTTTATAAGAAAATATAATTTATTACAATTTTTTTTTCTTTTTCACTATTCATCCTTAAATATAATAAGGGCATAGCGACGCAAAATCGCTTTTCCATTTTTGGGGCGGTTTTTTAAAAAATAGCTAACTATATTTTTAGCCAAAGAAAATATCGCCTAAACCTCGAGATATCCGCTAATAGGTGTCCAAACCTTTGTGCCATTTATGAGAAGAAAAATCTTCGGGTTTTTTTCAGGGTAAAATACGGAGTTAGCCGTAAGAGCGATTTTTGCGACAACAAATTTGACGATCTTTTTGTTAAATTTTTGGGTTTAATAAAAATTTAATATAAGTATTCTAGTTTTTTCCCTTACAAACAGTTTTTTTTCCTTTGTCTTTTATAAGTTTAAAAAAAAATAATTATTTTACGTCCCCTAGGTTATACCGGATACGAGATCCGCTAAGCCCCGGTTATTTATTTAAATCCGGTCGGCTCGACCGTTTCTTGATCGATTTCGTTTTATTTCTTTAAATTCAAATTTGTTAAAAAAAAAAATCTTTTGCTAAGGAAGAGAAATTAAATAAAAAAATAGGTGTTTACAATTAAAACACAAAAAAAAATCATCAAGATGATTTAAATCAATATTTGAAAAAAATCAAGATTTTTTTTCGCCCAAAATTTTGAGAAAAAAAACTTCGATGAAGATTTTTAAAAAAAAAAATCAAAAAATTTATGATTTAAATCATGAAAGATTTTTTTTTAATGCATAAAAATCGCGCAAGATTTACCTAGGCTGTGTCCAAAACAAAATATTTTTTAAAAAATTAGATTCGCAAACTTTCGAAACTTTATCGAAAAAGATGAAATGATCCCTAAATATATGAATATTTTCAAACTTTAGAAAGTTGCAAAACTTTTTTCCCAATTTTTCGAAAACTATTTTTTTTGGACATGTCCTTTATAAATAAAAATTCAGAATTTGAAGGTAAATTTTGACCAAAATCTCTTTTAAAAGATCATAAACTTTGAAGGATATTTATTTTTTTTAATTTTGGAACCGGAAATTAGATATTAATTAATAATTTAAGATTCTACCAATAAGAGTGTTGCAAAAAAGATATAATAATGGGCACGGGAGGTATCCCGATACAACGTTCTTTTTTTCTTTCTTTCTTATATTTCCGTCGCCCGAGAAGATTGTTCCATCTCCGCTTTTTTTCCGTAATTTTACGGGAAGAGAGAAATTAAAAAATAAATAACAAATTAATGTTTCTAATCATTTTCAATACGATAAGCATAAAGCCTTGTATATTAATACTTTTACTTAGTGATCTGCATCGGGCCTAATTTTTCATTTTTAAAAATTTACCGACCCGGTCCGGCCCAAATTTATTTAAATATAGTGTCAATAAATAAAATCAAATATTTTTATTTTACATAAAAAATTTAATATATAAAATTGAGAAATTTTGATATATTTAAAAAAAATTCCAAGGTCCAACCCGATGCAGATCTCTACTTTTACTACAGATAGGGATGTATCGATATTTTTTATCGGGTCAGTTCTGGCCGATCATTCATCGATTTTAAAATATCGGTTACCGGTCAATATTATAAAATTGTCCGTATCCGATAAAAAAAATGGCGTATGAAATCCATTTTTAGTCTATTTATATTTTAATAAACAGTAAATTAAATTAATTAATAACTGTTTACAAAAAGTTTTTTGGAATTATTGTTTACGTATAATGATTTATAAATAAATAAAAAAAAATTTTACATTAATAAACAAAATATATTGTTTTATTTCACCGCATTTACGTTAGTTTTTCCAGTATTAAATTAATAAAATATTGATGGATTCCTCATTCATTTATTTGGGATTATTCAGAATCGGATTCGCCAATCTCTAATTTGGCACAAAATGTAACATGGATCTCAAGAGAAGGAAAATCTCGGAAGACATATGACAAACTTGAGGAAGCGCGTCGAGAAAAATAGTAACGACGCATGCGCAATTTTATTGACTGAAAAAAAATTTTTATATAAAAAAAATGGAATAAGAATGAAATTAAAATGAAAACATTGCAGGTTCTGATAAATAAACAGGAAATTTGGGAACATTCAAGACCCTAAGCTATATCGCTTGCTTACTTATCAACCATATGATAGCATTAGATAATCAGCCATATTGGATTTTAATCTACTAATAAATCCAGTAATTCCCGTGAGAAAATTAATTCTTCCAACCTAGGTAAAAGAATTAAATCTATATAATAATTTTAAAAAAAATATGGATATCAAAGAAATTCCATCAACATCAGCAATATAGATTCAACTGACATATTTAAGTTATCTTATACTGATGCTGTTCGATTAATTGGAAATTTTTTTTTCTCTAAATAATAAATCTTTGATGTATTTAATTTTGAATATTTATTTCAAAATTTCATAATATATTTTTATTTGCATAATTGTGTAAATATAATAGATTAATTTTATTACTCATTACGAATAGGTGATTTTATTGATAAAAATATTTTTATATAAATTTTCACAATTGCGATTGAATTGAAATAAAAAGTTTTGCTAATAAAAAAAAGGTACATATTAAAAATAAAAAACCCATTTGAATCTTTATACAGAACACAAAATTAAGATTATGGTATCGGATAGTATCCAACCGGTATCAATTCAATATCCGGATTATCGGATCGGATCGGCCTCCAACAAGTGGTATAGGTACATCCCATCCGAAATATAAAAATTTTTAAAAATTTCATAAATAATGACATAAGGATATTTATTTTAAAAAAATTTTTAAACTTTTGTAAGTTGCAAAACTTTTCCAAATATTCGAATTATTTTGGACGTGGCCTTTAATAAAAAGATTCGGAATTTTAGGTATAAAATTTGATCAAAATCTCTTTAAAAGAGATCATCAATCTTTGAACGATTCTTATTTTTTTTAAAATGAATTTAAATTTATAATTCTATCAATCCAATGGGAGAAACCCGGCGAAAGATCGATTTAGATCCCGACACAACTATTCATTTTTTTATTTTCGTCGCTTGAGCATTAGACTATTCCATCTCCACTCCTTTTTTGTAATTTTTCGGAGAGATAGAAATTCGAATAATAATCATAATAATCGGACTATGATTTTATTTTCGGATTAATTTTTTTTAAAAATACGTAAATAAGATATGGGTGACCATCAAACCCCGGTCCGTCTCTGGCCGTATTTTTTTTTATATAAAATATACCCGGTCCAGATTATTAGCTATAAATAAAATAATTATGGATCCGAAGATTCTTTTTAAAAAAATACGTAAATAGACATGAGAGACCATCACACCCCTGTCCTACCTGGGCCTTTTTTCATTTTTTAAATATACCCGGGCCAGTCGGTCCGAAAATCGCTATTATTAGCTATCAAAAATAAATATGGACCCTAAGATTCTTTTTTAACAAAAAAAAGCCGGTCCTGTTCGAGCCGCGCAAACGGTACCCATGTCACCGAAAACGATCATAATTATGAGAAAAAAAAATTGATTTTAGTTAAAAAACGGATATTGGAATTAACCTAATTCTCGGGCTAATGAAGGACTTTTTAACGCATATATTAAAAATAAGCAATTTTTTAAAAATAAAAATATCTCAGATGGTTTGTGCATATTTTGTCAACAATCTTTCCATAATCAAGATTTCGATCAATTGATCATCAAAGATGGCATCCATATGCACTATTTTTGCCTGGTAAAATTTAAAAAAATAATATGTTTATTTTATGAGTGGATGGATATAGTGATTTAGGTTAAAAGGAGAGTGTTATATTATTGGACGTATTTTGATAGATTGTTTTTTTTAAAAGAGATAATTTGTAAAAACAGGTGATAATAAATTTGAATATTCGAATTCTGCCAGTGGAACCATATATTCCACCATTTTTTAAAATATATATAAATATATCCAACTTAATATCTCTCACATCCTATAAATCCTAAGGGAATTACTATAATGGCACAACTCAATTTTTTTTACAGTTATTTTCAGCCGGTCTGACCCAAAAAGGTGAGAACAACAAGGAAGATAAGGATGATTTATTCGGATTTGTCATGAACGATATACTCAAGGAATATAGACGCGCCTCTAAATTGGTAAGATTTTAATAATCTCCCCCACGAGGGATTTTTATTGGTTTATTTAAAAAAAAACATGTGTTTCCGGCCTAAAGAAAAAGATGGGACGCGAGTTAGACCCCAAGTATTTTCTTGGTTAATTTTTTTAAAAAAAGACATGCCAGTTATTCGAAAGTTTAAGCGCCAACCCTGGCCGAGCTTTAAATTTTTTAGGGAATTTCATTGGTCAGGTTTTTGAAAAAATATATAAATAATATTAGGTTATGGATCCATATGTTTTTTTCTCTCTCTTCTTTTATCGAAATAAAAACCCTTATATTCGGTGCAAATGCCCCAACCAATTAGCTATAAGTATATGCAAAAATTACTCCCTAACAAACTTCATTTATTACCTACACCGTTTTAAAAATCATATGTTTATTTAAATGTATCATAATACCTATAATTTTTTTTAAAAAAAAACGGAAATGTTTGTGGGTATGCGTAAACTACGCGTCGACGAAAATTGCGCTATGACTGGCAAAGTAATAAAAAAAATTTCGATTGATTACGATATTATTTTATGATTATTTAAGCTGCTGCCTCGCAAATTATTCAAGTTCTCCTTGATATAATAATAATTTTAAAATTGTTATATATATATATATATTTTTTAAAGACAATGGAAAAGCGACATATACAAATAGCTATGATAGATCAAAGAGAAGACGATTTCCGACACCTGAATGTTGGTTTTGTAACGGATCACATTTTGTGCCAAATTGGCCCTCCCTTCCTTTAGCTCCACGGAATCAAGATTACATGTCAAAATTTATAGATAAAAAAATGTCTTACTATATCTTGTAAATGTATATATATATAATATATATTATTAGTTGTAAATGGTAAGATTTCAAAAGGAGTCTGGGGCTAGGTAAACCAGTGGTTGGGCAAACCCCCTTCATCTCATTTTTAAATTAAACAAGACTATAAGATTTAAAATTTTGATCATAGTAATAGCTATTATTATTAAGCATCTATAGACAATAAATTATGTTGCGTGACAATTAATGATTTAGAATTTTTTTTAAATAAAAACCTTGATTTATCAAATTTAAAAGATTTTTTTACATTACAGAATTTGTAATTTTTAATCAATTTATATATTTATTTGTATACATATTAAATTTTATTGCAAAGTTTAACCATCTCTTAAAAAAAAACTCAAAGAAACCAATGATAAAGTTTTGATGACGAAAATGTTACTCAAGTCAGATTTAAGCTCATAGAATGACATATATTTCATCTATGTCCATTTATTTAACATTGCTACTTACCTCTAAATTTGACTGATAATGATAAAATAAATAACAAAATTTTCTCCAAATTATAAAAAGGTGGTTAAATTTTGCAATAAAATTTAATTTATGTACAAATAATTTTTATAGATTAATAATAAAAGAAAAAAATTAAAATTTCTGTCATATTTAAAAAATCTTTTGAATTAGATCAAAACATTATTTAAAAAATGGGATAAGCCTCTAGTTGGCAACTCCGTTGCATACCTTAAATCGAGGAGCCAACCCGAGGACCATTCTCTACTCTTCTCCATTTCCGCAGACAGCGGGTATGAATTTCTCGAAGCTTTTCCATCGCGAAACCTTGACCAGCTCCTAAGCAATGATGAGCTACGTCACGCCATCGGTCTAAGACTTAATTGTGATATGGTAACACCCTATCACTGCATCCTTTGTCAAACGCCGGTCAACTCCAAAGGCCGTCACTCTTTACACTGCAAGCACTGTAGAGGCAGATTCATTAGACATTCAAAATGCAATGATACTATTGCCAGGGCCCTAAAATCTGCCGGTATCCCATCAACCCTCGAACCTACTGGACTCTACAATTCTGATGGTAAGCGTCCCGATGGCTCTACCATGATCCCTTGGAAGAGAGGGGAATTCCTAACCTGGGATTTCTCATGCATCGATCCCCTTGCCCCTTCCAATATAAATAGAGATGCTCTAGTAGACGCCGAGACGAATAAACTCGCTAAGTATTCGCCATCGCTTCCGGCCAATTACACATTCCTACCACTAATCGCCACGACTCTAACGTCGTTCGGTTCTCATGCCCTGGCCTTCTTTAAAGAGCTGGGGAAACGGATCTCTACTAGGACCGAAGATCCCAACGAGGGTTACTACCTACGCCAAAGATTAGCCATCAATATAATAAAATCCAATTACCTCAGCTTCATATTCTCAATGACTGATACCCCCTAATCACAGAATCGGCGATGAGAAAAGCAATTAAGAACAAGAGAAGAATGTTCAGATGGAAGAAGAAAAACTGAAGGGCAAACTATGAAAACTAAATTGTTTACAAACCATATTTATCGCCTTATTAGATTGCTTACTTATAATAATAGCTATTACTATGATCAAAATTTAAATATCTTCTAGTCTTATTTAATTTTAAAACTGATATGAAGAGGTTTGCCAAAACTCCTGGTTCGCCTAAAACCTTAGTATCCACTGAAACTTAAGCATTATATGATAACTAATGCATATCATATATATTACACGATATAGTGAAAGACAATTTTTTATTTATAAATTTCGACATGTAATACATATATATAGATCAAAATTAATATTTATATAAATTTTAAAAATAATTTATTTAGATATGCATATTTTTTAATAAATAATTTAATACGTCAGAAGACGAACCCAGAAAAGGAGTGCCGTCTTTTTTTCTAATAATTTTTTTTGTTCTTTTGATTCCATGATGCCAAAGGAAGAGAATGACATTTTGAAACATAATGTGATCCTTTGCAAAACCAGCATATAGGTGTCGGAGATCGTCTTCTCTTTGATCTATCATAACTACCTGTATATGTCGCTTTTTCCATATCTCTTTTTGTCTTTAAAAAAAATATATATATAAAACAATTTTTAAAATTATTATTATATCAAGAGAGAGTTGAAATAATATGTGAGGCAGCAGCTTATAATAAATGATCATCGTAAAATATATCCGTAATCAATTTTTTTTTATTAACCTCAGGTTGCGTGTTAGTGAAGCAGGATCATTAAATTTTTGCACACTCGTATCTTATTGTTAATGTACGATATCGACTCCAATATGTAAATTGGTGCTTCTTCACTGTAAATATCATGTAAAAATAGGGTATTCAACTTGAAAAATCTCAGAAGATTTTAATTATTAACGGAAAAAGGAATTGTCTAAAACGTTAATAATACTTAAAATTTGTAAGATTCTTGTAGTCCAAGTCCTTTTTATATATTTTTTAGTTGAGGCTCGGTCGTAAATTATCGATTTTTTTAAAATCAATACCGTACTCGATTTTAGATAGCGACCATAACCGGCCCGGCCGGAACTCGATATTTTTTTTCAAATATAAATTTACCGATCCGGTCCGGCCCTAACTTACTTAAATATAGAAAAAATAAAAGATATACGTTATATGGGGGGCGTCTAGTTTTTTATATAAATTACATAAAAAAATTTTAACATAATTTACATACCATCGACATCGAGCATAAAGCAAGTGCTAGTGCACCAATTCATGAATAGTAAATTATTTATAAAATTAAAAATAAGTAATTCAAACTTAATAACACTAACTAAAAATGGTAATAAAAAATTAATATAATTAATTAAGCATACAAAATTTATAATGTACAGTTTAATATTCCTTGGGGGTTGAAGCTAATTTTTTTTGACGATTTCATCAGTGCTTGGGTGTTAACTCTCACTAAGTTATATTAAGAAGGGGGCTACCACCTGTTGAACCGGTTTTTTTAAAGCGGCTAACCCGATATTTTAACGCCATTTACCAAGTAGACGCGCAGTTTTCGTAGACGCTTAGTTTAGACATACTCATTTATTGGCATATCGCGTTCATCATTCGCCCCTTTTTTTAGATTTCCCTCTAAATAACCCGGATGAGAAAGGCTTCATCCTTGGTTCCCAAGTGCTCGATCCCTTCACATTACCATATTCCACTTCGAAACTGGAATTTATCTATGAGATGATGTTAAGTTTATTTCATTGTCATGCCTCTCTCAACTTTCTAATTATAATTTATAATAAGAGTTTTAAAAATATACACCGTTTTACTATTTCCTCTTCCCCCCTTTTTTGGACAGCTGTTTTTAAAAAAAAAATAATATAATCATCAAATTTGTACTCTCGCATGAGTCGAATTCCTGTTTACCCGCGATGACGATCCTAAATTGACGTCCCCTAAGCGTGAGACGGATCTGATATTGATACACGCGAAACCCACGTCGCGGATCATTTATGACATCCTCTCGCATCTTTAAAACCGCCACCCATCTAAACACTGGAAAAACTCCGGCGCCGGATAATCAGAAAAAAATGCTTGAGATCCAGATTGGACCCAGATAATTCTCTAAAAAGCTCACATTATTACAATGTATTTTTTTTTTATATTTAAAACATTTAGAAATGTTGCTGGTGTAAAAAGCTAGGTGCCAGCATGGGGTGCAATGTCAAAGCTTGTCGCAAAACTTACCATTTCCCTTGTTCGCTAAACGTCGATACCCTAAATCTATTTTATGGCAGTTTCAGGTAAAAATGACTATCTAATCTCTTTTTCATAATATATATACAAGATTTTAATCCCGTGGAGGAGAGGGGAGGGGGGGTAGGAACAAATTTTCAGCATCAATTCTGGTTTCCGTTTCCTGCCCGTTTCCAATTATTCTTATAAACTAAGTTTGCCAGAACCGAACCTGTTCCTTTAAATTCGACGCCAAGCCCGAAATATAATGTTATTCGTACAACTAAGAAAAAAACAACTGTTTACATTATTGGAGGGAGGGGAGTGGTTTTTAAATTTAAAAAAGACGCTTTATTGATTGCCACTTTTATCGAATGTCGGAATTCATCAATCACCCAACCCCATACTGGCCTGGTTCAAATAAAAAAGGTTTCAGACATTCCCGGGCGAATAAAAAGTTTTCAATCTTTGATTTTTCCGTTAACGGAAAAACGCGGGAAACAAGTTGCGTCGTAAAAATTTGAAATTTACTCCTTATTTTACATAAATTTTCTTCAGTCACGTGGGTACCTAGTAACACCCCCCCCCCATCAGAGAATTTTAGTTACTCACCTATCTTCGATATTTTAAGTTTAAGTCTTGTTTTTTTTTCCTTCTCCAATAAATAGCTAAACTATGTTTCTGCGAAGTTTCTTGTATTTTCAATCGAAAGATTTTTATGATATAAACATTCTTTTTTGAAGATACGGCCGGCAGAGACCTTAACGAGCCTAACCGGCCCGCTGTTCATGGATCTATTTTCATATCTGCTAGCGAACCTAGACAGGGCCCTCGGTTTTTAAATAATTTGGCTTGGACTGGGCTTGCGTCTAAATAAAAAAAAAAGATATCTTTTTAAAGCCTCTCACCACATCAATTTGAGTAAGATACGAGAATTTTTAAAATGACCGCTCGTTTAAATTTCGTTGTCCATTATACAACAAGTCATAATTCAAGCCTAAGTACCAATCCTCAGCTCATTTAATTTTTTTTTTCTCTCCGTATCTATAAGTGCGCGGCGTCTTATTTAACTATGTCGTGGCCCTGTTCGCAAACTTGCGAGTAAGTGACCATTCAAAATCTAGAAGAAGAAATGACCATATCAATCTTTGTCGAAAAAATCTGAATCGTCTTTTCGAGCGTTATATATATATTGAACTCGTTGATTGGACCACCTAAGCCCACCCCGATTAGGACCGGAGTGTGACACGATCTGGTTTGGACTGAGAGCGGGCCTAATTTTAGTGACTAATAAACGTCCCTCCCGTTATTAATTTTCTTTTAAAACGAAACGCTAATTAACGTCTTTTCGAATGTTATATAATGAACTCGTTGTTTGGACCACTTAAGCCCACCCCGATTAGGACCGGAGTGCGACACGATCTGGATTGGACTGACGGGAGCCTAATTTTAGTGACAATCAAGCGTCCCTCCCGTCATTAATTATTTTTTAAAAACGAAAATTGTCATCATCTTTCAATCCCAATTCTTTTTTACAACTGTGTTCAAAATATCAAAAAAATAAAAGTCGCATAACTTTTCGAAAATGTGTAAAAAATGAAAACGTGCTATTATTTAAAGTTTTGAAATTGACCGAATTTTTAAGACAGATTCTGCGCACAACTAGTGTTGCTAAACGGCTGGTAAGAATGTTCCGTTGCATAAGGACCGAATTATGGAGCCACCCGTCGCGGACGGGAGCTTGATCATCTGCGAATAATTTATTGAATTGTATTACCCATCTTTTCAAAAGTTTATCACCTTAAATTTTGGCGCCTACACACCATTTTATCGAGTAAAATGTTTAGTGGCGAACTGTCAATAAAATTATAATTATTACCGTCGAAAAAAAACAACGACAGCTCTTATTGCCCTACGCACCGTCCCAAATTTCCTCTCCTCGATTTGAGCTCGCTTAAGGACATGGCTTCCCGCAAACTTTGCAACGGAGGCGCCCATTCCATCGCCAACGGATGTTTTAAAATAGCCAAAAAGAGACGCCCCAGAAGAACCGGTTCTTACCGCGTCATAGATTACCGCAAAAAGAGAAAGGGGACAGCTGCCAAAGAAATCGAGCACGAGGATCCCTCGAGCAAAAATTCGGAGGATAAGGATGACGCCAATATTAATGGCGGCGAATCCGTCGGAAACGATCATGTGGATGAGAACGGGGCCAGCGCGACTAGCGACAAGGTCATGTGTTTGATTTGTATGGAGGAGATGGGCCAGGCGGATATGAGGGAATTTAGCGTATTACGGTCGGAATGTTGCATCAAAGCCTTTTTCCACAGGGAATGTATTCAGGTATAGCATATTTTTTATTTTTATACGAAAGATAAGTTTTCCTTGCCTCATTATTAGAGTCGAAATGAGAATATTCTAAGAAATTTTAATTTAAAATTGAAATGAGTTAGTTTTCTAGAAGCCTTCTTGACATACTGATTTCACGTTGCGTTTTAAACCTATATTTAAAAAAAGCACCGTTTAAAGATTGGCATCGGACGCCCCAAAACTGGTGCGTTTTTCGCGCGATTATTAGAATTTTTTTATAAACAGCTGATCCAATTTTATTCGGTTAACAAATTTTTTTAAAACCTATTATTTCAACCCATAATTTCATTGTCAATATAATCCAATTTAAATAATATTTATTTTTCTTTATATACCCCCATATCACATGTTTTAAAAGTTAAACTAAGAAAATTAAAATGTTTTCCTTTTCTTCTAGAAAAATATGTTGGAAAAACGTCATAAATGTCAATTATACATCGACAGTTACATCACTCATGTAATTAATATGACTAAAATTAATGAGATTATCTGTTTTTTTTGAATCATGGAATTTCATAAGCGCAACCTACAGGGGTTACAAAAATTTATTGAATAAGCGATATAATTTGTAATTTGAAATCGAAATTTACGAATTTATCTAAATTTTTTGAATTATTTGTTAATTTTTAGATATATTTAATGGTTTCTCTTACATAGGGAAAACATATGGTTTTTGTGTTTTCTTTTTTAATCCGGACTTTTTCATACTTTTGGATTCTTTAGTAAGGTTGTTCATGAATTATAAATTAGATATTTAAGTCCAGGAGATATTAGAGTTCCGATAAGTATGGGGGACAGGGGGTTGGTTTTATCCCCAATTATGAAAGATGTCGTAACCTTGTATACAAAAAAAATTTCGTTGCTTTCGAAGTAGCGCCTGTGGCCTACTCGGTGTGCGTGGATAACTGATCCTATGGTTCTAGGTTCGAATCATACAATGACCATGTCTTTCTTTCCTCTGAAATTAAAGGTGGTTCCGTACTAGAAAGGGGGGGGGGGTGATATATAAAAATGTCGTAAGCGAACGCTTGATTCCTCTGGATATATAAAAAAAAATAGATTTTGGTTGGTCGTTGTTTAACAAACTAATTTAGAAAATTGTCATATGTTGACTTGGGCAGTAATTAAACATTAAACAAAACTTTATTCCTTTTTTCTCTTCTCTTCTCTACTCATCTTTTTATACAAAATTTTAAAAACGAATAATACATTATTCGATTCATACTAAAACGAATACCGCTATTCGATTTGAAATTTATAAATCGAATAGCTTTTTAAACGCAACGTAAAAAAAAGGCAAGCCGGAAGTTACTTATACACGACAAAACAAATAAACAAAATGTCGAAGGAAGCATAAACATCCCTTAAATTTTATATCTAAAAAAATATTTTTCTTCTTTTTTTAGAAACAAGCCATTCATTCTGGTTACCTCTTTCAGTGCCCAGCTTGCTGTAACAAAGAAACGTTTAGAAATAGTATGCTGAAAATGGGGATATATATACCCGAGAGGTTTTAAAAATATTTTTTACTTTTGATGATCATTTATTTATTCTAATTTTTTTTTTAAATATAAATATTTATCATCTAATTCAGAGACGCCTCGTGGGAACTCGAGGAAAACGCGTTTCGCGAATTGTACCAAAGGCCCAGCGAATGTTCGGCCTTTTACTGCATATGCCCTGACGGAAGGAATTACAAAAAAGACTTGACGTAAAATTCGATTTAAATAATAAATATTAAGATACTTTTTATAGGTAACTCTACTCAGGACTATCATATTTAGGTTGTAGTTAGTATTTTTTTTTGCGCCAAGATTTTGAGCATTTGAAAATCACTACATTGAAGAATTATTTTATTAAAAATTTGTGATTTCAATTCAATCATGAGGCCATGGCCTAGGTCGGCTTAATTTGGATACTTTATTACTTTTTTTTGTGTAGGCTAAAAAGCATTGATCGAGGACACCATATATTTTGGTTTATTTATTTTAAGTTTCCATTTTATTTTCATTTTTTTATAAAATAATTTTTCTTTTACTTTTTTTAGCTATTTAATTGATACTTAAAATCGCAAAGATATACTGATTGATTTTTAATCTTATGTAAAATTAAGATTAAAAATCTTGGAAAATTTTGTTTATTATGAAGAGGCATTTCAAATAGCTGATATTCATCTCTCAATTTTTTTTTAATTTACAAAAAAAGGGTTTGGGATTTAACGCTATGCGAATCTTGCGGCGGACAGGCCCAACACTTGGCCTGTTCCGGTCTCGAAATGGCGGGTGTTCACACTTGGTTTTGCCAGGATTGCGCTCCGATAAGTTCCCACCTGCTCCACAAAGATCCCTGTTTTTACAAACGTTCTCGCAGACCTATTCCTTCTATTTCGAAATGTAATTCGAACTCTATTCCTCCTGTCAATCATCTATTACCCGCTTCAAACGGTTACTCTACAGAATTGCCCTTTCTTTCTGGACATGATACAGATGGCGATGATCATCGCAAATCCGAATCGCTGTTCGGAGAACATGAGAATAGATTGACACGAACGCAAAGCGATTCGAACAGCGACGCCGAAGAATATTTTAACAGTTCGAGCGATATACAAGAAGATATAATACAGCGTCCGCTATCCCCTAACAGTTACGACCCCTATGAGTGCTGTAACGATATAGTTCCTTCCACTTCTAATACAAATATCTAATCATATTTTTTTATTTATTTTGATTCCATGATTTCCGATATTTATTGAATAAATTTATTATTATCGCAATTCCTCATCAACAACATTATTTGTACAGTTTATATTTTTATCAACCAATTATTTCCTTTTCAAAACTATTTTTTTGTAATTAATTATTATTAATACCTAAAATTAAATGCCAAGAAATTCCCATATCTTTCTCCCAATTCCATCCTTTGTAATATTAAATTAAAATAGATTTTTTTTACATCACCTAGGAAAAGAGGAAAATCAAAAAAGCATTTACTTAAAATTCTCTAAATAGAACATGTAATGGATAAGATTTTAAATTATTTGTAAATTTGTGATTTTTTTGATAAAAAAACTTATTGGGGGCCATAAAAATATCATTTTATACCTCAAATTATAAATGAATCTGGTTAGCTCAATCTTTGTGAAATTTAGTGATTCTGATTAGCTAAAAAGGAAATTATATTCCCATTTTTATTATACTGTGAAATTATATTTATTGATTATTTTTTTTAAACGTATATAAGTTATTGTAATTTATAAATATAATTTTTTTTTTATAACTCTTGTACATCCGTAATAACATGACAATTTATAATATATGTAATATGAATATGGTTATTTGATACGCACTTTAGTGTTAATTTTATGAACATGGTATTATATTTTTTTTGCCACATTTTGTCGTCCTAAATTGAACGGTCAGATATGGATAATTTTTTTTTCTATATTACACACGGTTCCCCGATATTTATGTTGTTTAGCATTTACAAATAAAATTTTTGTTATATATGATGTTTAGTTTAATCGTTTTTGCCCGCGTAAACTGCACGCATATATAAACATTTTTTTTAAATCGAGATGGTGCCTATCGCGTGTCTTTTTTTTCTTTGGAAAGTAGAGAATACTTTCTTGTAATAAGGGAGAGAGGGGGATATTTGATTTTTTCTTCTTCATCTTTTCGCTTAGACGCCGCTTTGTGGAGAGAAAATAGTAAACAAAAGGCAGTTTTTATTTGTTTTTGAATATCAGTTAAATAATTTACTATGGGTATTTTAACTTTCTATTTATTTAAAATAAACAGATGTGCTTTAGAATATTTTTTTTTTAAATTTATCTAGTGGATGATTAAATATTATTTTGAGTTATAGAGCTATAACTCACCTTAGGGTTAAGTACCACCGATTCGGTTTAATGAATATTATGGCACAAATTAAGGGACTAAATATTGTCGGGTGAGTTAAAAAAAATTTTGTTGTTCTTTTTCGATCTTGTTTATGTGCGCAAACTGCTTAATTTTGCTTGATAACTTAAGAAGGGGTTATTTTGGCGGTATCCGACGGGTGGATTGATTAATTAGGAAAAAATTAATCATTGGTTACTGCACATTAGGATAAAAAAATTTCTTTAAGGCGTTCGGTTGATATGCTTATGACCAAAGGCAGTATCTAGCATCTTCACAAGGTAATAAGTAATGGTGCGCTTAAATGTGTATTTTTAATAATTAAATTTTTAAAATATTATCTTGTCTTGTCCTTAACTCCCTGTCGGTATCAAGATATACTAGCCACAAGTATTGATAGAGCTTCAGACTTACACTTCCAACTTCACGGATCTATTATGTCTAACTTATACTCAAGCACTTCTACCAGGTCATTGAAATTGACGGGGGACAGGCGCGTAACCAATTGAGGGTGGGGGGAGTGAATTCTCCATCGCAAATTTGACTTGTTTTCATAAATATCATTTTGAGCTAATAAAAATTTATCCCCACCCCCTTTCCTGTCAAAATATTGCAATATCAATCAGAGTTTATATTTGCTGCTAGATGCATTAATAAATTATTTACCTGTCAATACTTTGTAGAAATTAAACCAAATTTATATTTGGTTCAGTTTATTGATTTAGCGGAAAGTGTATATGAACAAATAAGTAAGAATGAATGTAGATGTAAATTTTATAATATTTATATAGACGTTGAATTGAAAGCTAAATCTTGTGATATAACACTAATTAAACCTCGTCTAGTAACTAGGCAATTGATGTAATATAAATGTTGACTCAACTGAAGAATATTGCAAAAATATCCATTTTCATCCCATTCTTAGATACTTTTTTTTATCGCAAATTAAATTAAGGTTTTTTAGATAAAAAATACAAGTCTTTAACAATCTTCAAATTTTATTACCTATAAAGAACCTTCTTCGTTTTCTGATGCCATTGTTGGTAAAATTAAATATTTATCAAAATTTTATTCCTAAGTTATTGATACTCTGAAATCAATTTAATCAGTGAATTTGAATTGTGATAAGAATATTTACTGTTTGGATATTTTGCCTAAGCATGCTATTGATGCGTTTAATCGGTGGTAAGGAAACCTTGGCTCAATTTCCAAATATTTTGAAGTTGTTTTATATTACTGCATATTCGCCTATTACAAACATATACGAATGAAAGGACCTTTTCCAACTTGAGAAGGTTAAAAACTTATTTACGAAATACTAACTCCGAAATCTCGGCCAAATGGGTTAGGTCTGCTAAATATCCAGAGTGGTTCCTAGAACAAACGAAATTCTAAATGAATTGGCTAATTTCCCTTGAAAATTAAAAATCGCATTATAATTATAGTATTTAATAAATTTTTTTGTATAATATTGTATTTGATAAGAAGTTATAAAAACTTGTTTTTTTTAAAAAAATTTTCTAGTCAATATTTTTACTCAATACAAATAGTATTTTCAATAAAAATTTTTTATTCATTCTATTTGTATTGCATGAGAATATAAGCTGAGGTTACTTTTTAAAGCCAATTTTATATTTAAATCTTATATTTAAATTTTTTTTTAATTTGATATAAAATACCTACCTTTAAATAATAAAAAATTAGGTTATAATCTTTATTTCTTCTTTAAATATCTATAAGAGCGAATCAGTAAATTAAAGCAAAAAATATTAATATAATTAATATTGAATTATGAATAATTTAAAAGAATAGGTCAAAAATATGACACGACCGAAGGCCGGGTGGCCCTCTCCTTATAGAAAAATTTTGGATACGTCACTTTCGGGGGGGGGGGGGGGGTAAGGAATTTTGAAAGACGTTTATCGTAATCGTTAGAATAAAAAGTAGGTGGTATAAATTTCGATTTAGAAGCGGTGTGAAGGGAGATTATTATTGGCTTAAGGGTAGTAGAGAAGTTAAAATTTTTGGTATTTTTTTGAAAAATATATAAATTCATATAAACAGTAAATTGACCCTAAAACATTATTTACCACGAACATACCGTTCAGTCATGAATTTAATCAAGGTTCAGTTAAGGATTCCCAATATTAAGGTTTAAAATTTTACCAGTAGTTGAAAAATCATTAAAACTTGGCACTTCTAATTTTTTTTAAAAAAAAATTCAAAATAACCAATTTTTAGATATTTTTCCCCAACGAGCTTTAAAAGTAATTTCCTTAACATTTAATTTAACCTTAAAAAAATTTTTTTTAGTACAAGGTTCAAACTAAGTATATATATATAAAATAATTTTTGTTAGCGATTTCATAGGAAAACCGAGATTTAATAAAAGGTGCAGAAGATACTTACTTCTAACTATATTGCATTTACTCGTTAATAAACCTTATATCTTCTTTTCCCCTTACTGGAAAAGGGTAATCCTCAAGGTGATTTATAAAAATGGTTGGGGGATTTTAGCTAGATATGCTTTGCTAAGTTTCTACTTAGCCCAAGATAATAATATCTTCGTCGTTTTAACTATTGTGGTCAGTTTGCACGATAGTTGACAAGGTTTCTACTTTTAATCGTTTTAATAAAAGATTTTTTCTTTTTAAAGACACGTAAATTTAAAATAATTAAATGATCGTTAAGTTACTCGTACAAATGTAACGGCTCACAGATATCTTAGTTACATTTTCAGATGGACAAAACTACAAGTAAGCGGTGTTATGTACACATATGTACCGCCAATATATATTCTTTTTATTTGGAGATACATCTAAATGCAGTTGTAAATCGTGATACGAGTCCCTCAAAGCTTAAATAATAAATGTCACGTCACGATGAAACATTTTGGATCGCTAAAAATAATATTAGACGAACTCGAAATTATAATCTAGTAAAAAGGAACCGGTTCAGATAGCTTCCATAATCCAAAAATTCAAAAAAATAAATGGCAAGCAAACACTAGTATCTCTCTGTATATTCTTTTCTCTAGCACGTGACCATGAGCCAATATTTGTAAGATTACGATCCCTATAGTATTTCGATGCAAATTCATTCAGCATTACCATCACAGGCTAATTTTACTGCTACGTGGTTAAGGCGCTGAATCGTAGAGAAAATTTCTTAGGGGATAGGTATTATGAGGCAGAACGAAATTTTAGATTACTAAACAGCCATTACCCTTATCGAGATAATTTTGATAGTCATAATTTTAAATTCGTTTAGCGGGCCTTTTACGGGTTCACTCGTGTGAGAGAGTTTCCCTTCTAATCCTCATTCATTTTCTACGGTTTCTGGAACATCGTCAATAGCATAATCTTGCATTATCTGCCATTAATCCAAATTTACCTTTGGTTGCTTCTTTGGTTCTCTTTTCCTCCACCAGACCCGGACGATATCTATTCACCCAATCATCTTATGCCTTGGATATGTTGGGCGGAGGGTTCAAAGAAAAATAATAGAGCGTGTTTTTACGATTGGATGCCATTCCTGAGATCAACCTCTTTAGATCACTTTTAAAAACCCATAGAAGAAACGATGATCAGCTTTAATTAGCGGTTGACCTCCCAGTCACTTTGAGGATGGATTTTGGGGAGATATTAATCATTTTAAATATTTACTCTTAATTTATGAAATATGGGATGCATTTTATATTGCATTACAAGATATAAAATTCATCGGAAGTGTGTATGGGGGGAGGGTAGTAGAATTGTCAGTGGTTTCAAGGGAAGGGAGTGTTGAAACTGCTGCACTTCCCTACAATTACAGTACCCATGCTACTTGATAAATATTGATATTTTTTTAAAAAAGATATTGAATTTAAATGTTCGATACTTATTGTAGTATATAAAAAAAATGGGAACACCTAATTTATTACGCGGAAAATTTTTCTGTGCAGAAAAAAAATATTAATCATGGAATATTCCATGTTAAGGAAGGTTAAGTAAATAATAATCAATTTTTTTTTATATTAATTTGTATTTAATTTATATTATATCATATTAATTCTATTGCCTTTTTTTTTAAAAAATAAAAATTTCAAAATTCATTATTTGTAATGAATTTTGGCATTCTTTACATGAAAGTATCAAGTAAATATTTTACAAAATTGTATAAATTGATAGTTAATGTGACCCTCAGTCAGTAGCGTCACTAAGTCACTATAATCTAAAGGGGCTTCCAATTTTTTCTTAACGTTTTTTATACTATTTTTGAAAATGACCTTTTTTTAAGATATTTTTTAAATTAAGGGAGGGGGCTTCTCTTCTCCCCCCACCCTAAGTAACTTTGAAATAGATAAATTAAGATGTAAATGTTTAGTAATCGGAAGATAAAGAATACCTTTTTTTTAAATGTTATTAGGACTGAGAAAATTACCATCTTTTTAAACATTTGGACGGGCTGGTCAAACAAAATTTTTAGATAAATGGACGGACGGGTGAATTTAAAAAAACCGTGGGCTTGTTGGCCAAACCCCGCCCATTGAAGACCTCTAGTGCCATACATCACCGTAATTATCTAGCGGAAGTGTAATGGTTTTGGGAGGCATTTGATCCCTCGTCCCTGGCCAAATTTCACAAGATAGCACATTTATCTATACTCACCACCCCATATAAGACATCTAGGTTAGGGTGTCCTAGAAATAAATTTATTTATTTCTATTATCATTTCTAACAAAATATAATATTTATTTGAGTCGTCATGTTGTTTCTGGGAAGTGAAGAGAAGATATAGTAAGAACATAATTACTGAAATCAGTGAGTACATATAAAGTGTATCGTCTCGTCACCGCTTTATTTAAAAAAAATAAGTACATTCAGCGCGTATCAGGAACAAATAAGGATTTAGCACAATCAAATTCTAGATGCTTGATTGAGCGAATCAGTGGAGGTAACATTATTTCCGGTTTGGTACAGGCTCTCCATATCTATGTTACTGTATATCTTGCTGAGGGTATCGATATGTTCGCCCACCACCCCCAAAAACTTCAGGATAAGGTTCCGGTCCAGACTACTCTGGATTTTGACCATCCTAAGCGGGTCGGGTATGTACTCGAGATCGGCGGATTTAATGGGTAACTTGAAACGGTTCGAAAGTTCGGATTTAACCCTGTGAAACTCGGACACGTCGCACACGAACTCGAGCAGGAAAACGTGCTTGTCATCGCTTGTTTGCGTCGTCGCGGGTTCTCCGTCTTGGCAAATCGCGTCCGTGATTTCGCTGACCTCCTCGGCCCCGGCCTCGATGGCTACTTCCTCCATCTTATCCTTGGGTA